CCCCCGGCCGGGTTGTTCCCCCGTGGCAAATTTTGGTGGCGTGCGCTACTGGACACGGCCGGTTCGTCCTCCACATGTCTGCTATAACTCCGGCTTTGACGGGGAGTGGAATGAATCCTCTCACGGTTGTGTGAATACGCTTGCTGTTGATTTAATGTTGTCTGAAGGAGATCCCTGGCCCGACGCGCTTCCACTGCAACTGGTGATTCGCCGTCGGTTGGGAGGGCCGCCAGGCGTGAAGCGGCGGCCACGATATTATCCAACGGGTTGGAATAATGCCCGGGCGGCGTTGATGGTACAACGTTGTTCTGGCGAGGCGGGTCTATTGCGCGTGGTTGAACCAGCGCTCCTGTTTTCGGTGCCCCCGCCCGGTTTGGCGCGATTTGGTTACCAGCTCCTGCACCTGGTGTGTTGAAAAGATTATGTGGCTCATAAACCGATGGGAGACGTGATCGGTACCTTCATCTCATGACCTATTCCGAGGCATTCTGATCCAGTCTGATCCGATAAGTCTGTGCTTCCAACTCAGCCCACTCTATGGCCATCATGGCGTTCTCTGCTGCCAGGTCCGCTTTAGCCTGGGCTATCTGATCTTTCACCTTTAGAATTTCCGCATCGTGCTGATCCCTGGCTGCTGCGTCTACCTCCGCGGACATCAGTGCCGCTAGAGCGTCGAACAAATCAGTCAAGACTTGGGCCGGAGGCGGCGCCGAGCTTCCTGCCCCTGCTGGCGTGGCCGTCATTGAACTGGAGAGCACTGCTGCGGCGGTAGATGAATGAGGCGCCGGTCGTGTGCCGGCCATGAAGACAGTGGCCCGGTTTGGCGGACCGGGGGAATCCGGAATACTGTTGCCCTCGGATCCTCCCTCAATCCGGCCGTCCTGCAACTGGTAAAGCGATTCGGTTTCTCCAGAAGACTCGTCACCACTGCGGACTATGGTTTCTTCGTCGGAGGCCGGTTCCTCCTCGTACCCTGAACCATGGACGACACCTACGAAAACATGCCTTGCCTCGGGCTGAACCGGTGAAGAACTTGCACGCCGAGCCGTTTCGATGATGTCGGTGCAGGTGCCCGGCTCGGGGGCCGGTTCGCCGATCTTGCCGATGAAGACGTGAATCCCACCAAAGGGGACCCGGTACCCGTATTCGATTGAATCGGCCTCGGGACCCCATCCTGCGTTGTCGATGTAGAGCTTTCCACGGCGACTTTTCGTCATCCGGCCCACGGCGTATCCCTTGAGTCCATCGAAGCTGCCCTTCAAGAACTCCAAACCATCATGCGATAGCCCCATGGTGGGCGCCAACTGTCGTGGAATTGTCACGTCAGATGTCCTCATGAAAGGACTTAGTCGTGGAGCCATCGCTACGGGTTAGCTTGAAGGGGTTAAACCGGACAGGGGGACATGAGAGTTTTATACTAGTTCGGCCCCTTCGGTGAAGGTAAAAGCCTACGTCTAGTTGTGATTGGTATTGCTGGGGTTTCGCCGGCCAGGGAGCGAATCCGCTTTGTCTGGCTTCGAGTTGTTGTTCTCTGTCCCTAAACCGCCGCCAGGTCACCCCTTTATATACTCAGGAGGACCCCGGCCGGTCTACAGAGTCCCGAGGCTGGCTCATACAAGTGTCCGCCTCGGTCTCTTCTTTCCTATCTTACAATGCAAGTTTGTATAATCATGGCGGTTTACTATTATGGGCCCTAAATCGCCTACGGGCTCTGGGCCTTTAAGCTTCATCCGTAAAGCGCCATCTTCTGGGTTTCCTTGGGCTTCAGTATAACTGAAGGTGAACCGGCCCCTCCTGGGCGGTTTACCCTTAGAGGTTATATCCTCAACAGGGCCTATGGGCCCACTATCCACCAGGGCGCGCCAAGGGGCCTCTGGTGCGCCCTAGAGCCTTGTGGGCCCCACAGACCTCCCCTCGGGCACTTCCTTGGCTCTCAAGTTGTCTTTTGTCTAGAAAAAAATCATCAAAAGGTTTCGTGGCATTTAGATTTCGTTTGGTACTGATATTCTATGAAGTAAAAAACAAGAAAAAACAGCAATTTGCACTGGACACTATTCTATCGATCATTAAAATTATCATGGCAACCTTAATTGAAATTGCATGGTGATTTGACCTTTCGCTTGGAAAACGCTGCAAAGGAAAGTTTCCCAGCTATTGGCGTTCAAAATTTAAAAAGAAAAAACCGACCAGCCCGCATGAGTCTTAGTACAACACATTTGTCCAACGGATACAGGCTCCTCTAAAAGCATGGTGCAATGAGATCATCACAAAAAATATCCTCGGTTCCACGGTAGTACCAGCTGGACCTTGTATCCGGTGGCAAGAACTAAGAACAGGCAGATTGAGAGCATCTCCAACCGTTTGGCCCCCCAGGACACCTAAAAAACGGTCTGGGGACAAATCGGCGCTAGCTCGGCCCCTGGGGCGACTTAGCTCCCAGTCACGCCCCCAGGCGCCGGTCCCAGAATGTGGAAAATTCGAACTTGGTCGTTCCCGCTCATCACAAAAGACGCCACAAATCCGGCTATCGCAAGTCATAGTTCGACGATCGGATGTAGTCTGGCGTACAAAAAACAGAGCGCCGCAAGTTCGCGTGCGCAACGAATCACTTGGCGGGGTCGGCTTCAGGCATCGGCGGAGTCGGCGTGCGCGGGCTCGGCGGTGTCGGCGCGGCTTCGGTGCTGCTGGGCGGCGTCGTGGAGGTGTCATCACTCGGGCTTGGCGTGTGCGTCGGCGTCGGCGGCCTTGTCGAGGGAAGTTGGTTCAGGATGAGGTCGCACTCCGCCAAGTACCACGCCTTGACCGCCTCGTCGGTGCTCTGTAGTATGTTTGCCCCGCCCAGCAGGAAAGCCAGGTCGGTGTTTCTCTTCTTCGCGGCGACGTTCGTCCAGAGCAGGTCGAGCTTGACGGCGTTGCTCGACATCAACGCCGACCACCGCGCCTCGGTCTTCTCTTCACGAAGGACGGCCCAGGCCTGCGCGTCGGCGAGGCAGTGCTTGATGGACTCCTGCAGTCGAGCGGTGGCCGCGTCGGCGTGTTTCCCCTTCTTAGCAACTTTGTTGCCGTCCGGCCGCCCTTCCGATGCGCCAGGAGTCGGCGCGTCCGGCTTGTAGGTCTCCTTGGCCTTGTCGAGGGTGCGCCGGATTTCCGGTCACTTCTCGCATTTGTCAATGCGCTTGTAGACGTGGAAGTACTTGAATTCGGCGTCGATGTTGCTCTGCCGGTACAGGGCGAACATGCGCAGCAACTACGCGGAAGAACAAACAGTTGGCGGGCGTACACGGCGAAGAGAGGCGGGAGGCCGGCGTGGCATACCTGATCCTCGACGCTGGCGCCGCTCTCCGGACGAGCCGTGACCTCCTCGACGACCCCATGCCATTTGGTGCACGCACCCTGAATACGCCCCCAATGGTTCGCCATCGCCTTGGAGCCGCGCTGCATGTAGACGCCTTTGAAGTAGGGGTCGACGAGCTTGCGCTCATCGAACTCGGCCTTGATGCGGTCCCAGTACGTGTCGATGCTCTAGTTCGTGCCGGTCGTCGGGTCGAGGCAGACGACTTTCCATGCTTCGGCAAGGCATTCCACCTCCTTGGACGCCCACTTGATGCGCGGCTCGCCTGTCCTGGCCGCCCGCTTCTTCTTCTTGCGCCCCTTCGCCGTCGTAGGCGTCGGCTCCTCCTCCTCCTCCTCCTCGTCCTCCTCCTCCTGCTCCTCCTCGCCGTAGACGTAGCCGAGCTCGCCGTCCATGCCGCCGCTGAGATCCACCACCTCGTCCTGGCTGACGAACCTGGGAGACGAGGCGGCCACGGCCGAACCTGCCGCGATGATGTCGTCCATGTCGGCCTCGGTCTCGTCGGTGTCGCCGAGGTGCGAGAAGGGCAGCGGGCCACGGCGTAGCGGGGGCGCCGGGAGGAAGCGTAGGCGGGCGGCGAGTAGTTGTATGGAGGGTACTGCACGTCGGCGAAGGCGGGAAAGGACGTATGCTGGGCCAGGTATACATGGGAAAAGGTGACGTTTGGGTTGAACCCACCGTGCGCGTCCCCGTCGGCGTAGCCCGGCGAGGGCGATCCCCATGGCTGCGGAGAGCTGACGCCTTGCTGGCCCCAGGGCGCGTACTGGGCGTGGCTTCCAGGTGGATTCACCATCCCCACGCGAGCCGCGTTGTCGCAGGCCTTCTTGGCGATGGCCCTGTTCCGCCGATCGGCGGTGACAGCATCCCGCCGCTGAACTTCCGCCTTCCACTCGGCGTTTGACATGCCCGGTGGCTTGACCGGCGGCGCTCTCGGCTTCCTCTGCTTCGGCTGGGCGACGGAAGTGGTCGCGATTGCCGCCGCGCGAGGGGAGGCGTACTTCTTCGGTGGCATGGCGGCCGGCTGGAAGGGAGGCGAGCGGGAGGGAGATTGGCGGGAGGAAGGAGCGGGAGGGAAGTGGGGAAAACATGGGAAGAAACGGCGAGAAGAGGCGCTCGCCTCGCCGACAGGGCGGACCCACACGCCCTTCTCGCTTGTGCCGGCGTCCCAGGCGCCGCAGGAAGCCGGGTTCGGCCTGGGTCCGCCGGCATCAGTTTCGACCTGAGCCAGCGAAAAACGGGCTTCAGAGGCGCGACTGGGCCGTTTGTCGGTGCCGGCGCGGTAAAAACATTTGGAAAGGGTCTGTTGAGGACGCGACTAGAGATGCTCTGAACTACCTAAGTTGAAGCAGCGACCAGCGAGTGCAACCGGTGAACTACCTAAGTTGAAGCACCGAGTGCAACCGGCGAGGAGACCAAGGAGCACATGGAACTTTCATATTAGCACAGTTCGCTGCATTCCTACACTGCGAGTGCGTGCTATACTGGTAGTACTCGCACTTGCATACAGCATTACTACATCTCTAATCCTCTCTTACTGCTCTGCAACGACCAAAGTGAGCAATACATCACAGGCCAGACGCAACGGCGCCTTCATCTTGCTGCATGATGTTTATACAGAGCATAGAGCTTCAATTTCAACCCAAGTCACCTAGTTGTTGCCGTACATGACGTTCCACGAGTCCAGCGTCGGGAAGCACGGCTGCTCCGCCCCCGCCGCCGGCGGGTGCTGAAGGGCGTACGCGGCGACTTGGGCCGCGGCCGCTGCAGGGTCTGACGGCAGCAAGTGATCAAAGTCGAAGGGCGACAGGAGGACACCGAGGCTGGCGTCGGCGTCGACCTGCGGGTCGGCCTCGGCGCCGGTGACGTGCTGCACCATGAGACGGAAGGTGGCCGCGTCGGAGCTTATGTACGTGGTGGGCACGCGCTTGGACGGCCGCGGCCGCCGCTTGCCCGCGCGGCCGCCCGCAGGTCCGAGCCTGCAACGCGCGGACGGTGCCGCCGGGGGAAGCATCGCCATGGGGCCGCAGGAAGAGGGCGAGGCCGTCGTGGCTGCCACGCTGCAGGCGCCGAGATCGGCGACGATGGACGGCTCCGGGACGGGGGAGCAGCCGGCCGAGAGGGAGAAGTGGAGCGCGCGCGCGATGGCCGCGTCCGCAAAGGACCGGCAGAGCATCGCAGGCGGCGCAAAGCAGGAGAGGGCGTCCATACCAGAGTGAGTTCCTTCCTGCAAACGCAGGAGCCTGAGATGCGCGAGCCGGAGAATAGGGTTGGCTAGCTGGTGATGCGAATGGGAATGGCAATGGTGGAGGAGGCGGCAGGCGTTATAAAAGGAGGCGGAACCGGGCGGTGGCGAGTGGGGGCAGACGGCCACGGGAAAGCGCGTAGGGTTGCCTTGGATTCGGGTGGATGGGGCGTGGAGGTGTCGGCGCGTGGGCACCAGGGGGCAGCGCGCCGGTCTTGCCCTGCGACATACCCAGCATCCAAACAGGTTGAAGTTCAAAAAAAAAAAAAGTATCCAAACAGGCTGAGCACTGAGACGATTGTGTGGATGCGTGGTGCTCGTGCATGGCATGGCGGCACGGGCTTTCATGTGCTTGCCCTACGATTGGTGCACGCAGCCGCACCGTACAGCGCCCACATCTAGAACAGTCAACCCGAGTGGACTACGGCCCAACTATTGTCTACGGATCAATCGAGGTAGGTGTGTGCGTTTGACCTTGCGACCAGAATCAGGGTGAGCAACTAGTTAACGAGCGCTCCTTCGGAGCCTCGCAAGATCAGCGTCACTTGGCGCTCTCAGCCATTTGCCACGTGTCGCACTCCGGACGCTCCCTTCGGATTTTGTTTTTTTTTCGCACGTGTGTTTCGGCTTTTTAAACGGGCTTTTTCCAGGTTTTTTCGTCGTTTTGGTTTTCCTCCGGTCTTTCTTACCTTTTCGATCAAAAAATTTTTCGAAAATTTCTTTTTGCGCGAAAAAACGCGTTTTTTTCCCTTTCGCGAAAGTCACGGTTTTCTTCCGCGAGAGGCACGGTTGTGCTTTAGCAAGAGTCACGGCCGTACCTTTCGGAAACGAAAAAACGCGTTTTCTGTTTTTTTTTCTTTCGCGAGAGTCACGGTTTTGCTTCCGCAGAGGTACGGTTGTACTTTCGCGAGAGTCACGACCGTGCCTCTCGGAAAGGGAAAAAACAAAACGCGTTTTTTATTTTTTTTTTCTTTCGGGAGAGTCACGGTTTTGCTTCCGCGAGAGGCACGGTTGTGCTTTCGCGAAAGTCACGGCCGTGCCTCTCGAAAAGGGAAAAAATACGTGTTTTCTTTTTTTTTCTTTCGCGAGAGGCACGGTTGTGCTTTCGCGAGAGTCACGGCCGTGCCTCTCGGAAACGGAAAAAATGCGTTTTTTGTTGTTTTTTTCCTTCCACGAGAGTCACGGTTTTGCTTCCACGAGAGGCACGGTTGTGATTTCGCGAGAGGCACGGACGTGCATCTTTCGTAAAAGGAAAAAAACCATGCTTCCTATCCGGTTTTTCCGCCCGGTTTTTTCGTGGAAAAAAAGTTCGTCAAAACCTATCAACATGGGATCTAGTTTTGAAGATCTTGACGCGAGGAATCCAACGGTGAAAACGGTTTGAGATTTGGACGCACGGTTTAAGAGATAAAACGTTTTGAATAAACGGATCTACGAAAAAAGAGAAAACTCCCAGGTTGTGACAAGTGGCGCGCTGCATGTGCGCCACTTGTCGCGACCTGGGAAAGTGAAGTGCTCTTTGCAACGAGTACTCCTTAATTAGTGATTTCGAGAATCAGGTACAACTTATTTTCTTCGACACATCTAGAGAGGTATGGTATGGTATGAACCATACCGAAAAACCGAACCGAAAAACCATACCGAAAATAAACCGAACCGAACCGATTTTATGGTTTTTATGGTTTCTGATTTCGGTATGGTATGAACTTTTCATACCGATTTGAACTTTGATTTTTATGGTATATACCGAAAAACCGAACGGTTAACCAAATAAACCGAAGTAAAAATAAATTTATATTTCTTGAGATGAACAATCATACAAGTTGTCATTTTTCTTGTACATGAGTCAAATTCACTAATAAGCATGTAAAATTTTCTTGTAACATAGTCATTTTTCTCTTTTTAAAATGCTAAGCATGTCCATAACCATCAACAGATGAATTAATGCATGCATATATAATTATATATATATAGTCATATACTATTTGTGTAAAATAGTATGTGTTTTGAGTCATAAATTTGCAAATTATTATTACGTTATTTTCAAATTCGCGTCAACTTTGGTTTTTATGGTATATATCGAAACCATACCGAAATAATTTGGTATATATCGAAACCGAGCCGTATTTTAATTTCATACTGTATTTACCGAAGTATTAATACCGTACAAACCGAAAAACCGTATAAACCGAACCATGTAAACGGAATAAACCAAACGCACAGGGTGAGGTAGCAAGTCCAGTCACGAGGATATGCTTACGACAACCTTTTTCATGGCTAACCAAAGTCCACTGCATGCTGCTACCCCTTTTATTAAATAAAATCTATATAATGATTCGCCACGCGTTTGCTGCAAGAATAACTCGCAATATATTTGAATGAAATTTAATTATAATATGAACGTCAGTATTTTAATTAACAATATAATAACTAAAACAAAAAATATCTATGATTGTTGTATAATTATAAAATATTTATTCATCATCTATATCTATATCTATACCTCTATATCTATATCTATATCTATACTCTATACCTACTATTAAAGGGAATAGGTATTCTTGGTTTGGTTCAGTCCAACTATTAAAGGAAATAGATATTCCTGGTTTGGTTCAGTCCTTTTCAATTCGATGGGCCTTTTATGGGCTTCATAGAGTCTGAGAAAAATAATTAGGTCAAAATAAATTAACATTATGGGAATTTAAACAGGACCTCCTGTCTGGATCTTCGATGCAACAACCTATGCGTCATTCACAACTCGCTCTAAATATATGAGTGACAGTCCTCGTGTTTAAGCGAATAAGTTAATTAAAGAAAGGATTGTGGACTTAAATAAAATATTTAAACAGACGTGGCTAATAGAAAAGAGGACTATGGGTAAACTGGTGGACTAATTAAAATAAAGATTGTGGTCTTAATAAATAGAATTTTCAAATAGATCAGGCTAATTAAAGGAAGGACTTGAGGTAAAAAGGTAGGATAGTTAAAAAGAAGGCTATGTATGCTTCAATGTGTTGGGATATTAAATTAAAGAAAGAAGGATTTGATTCCCGACTAAAACGGGTGAGGACGTCACGGTAACTAAAGGAAGGATTATACTTAGATGGAATCGGTGGGAGATTATGCCCAACAAAGAAAATATGAACACGGCTAAATTGCATCGTATTTTTTATATTCGTTTTGTAGAAGGAGCGTTGAAGCATTTTTTTTCATAGTGAATCCGGTGCTGTGAGACATTATACTTGCACAAAACATCAATTTTTCCCGTTGCAACGCACGGGCATATGTGCTAGTAATATAATTAAAACATTTGAGCCTTTTTGCATACCTTGCTGCATGTTGAAATAAGTCTTTTTATCCCCCTGCAAAAAAGTGGGTCTTTTTATCAAAAAATGTTGCATTATGAGTTGATATAGTTGCATGTGGAGATAAATATGTTAATGCGAATCACCTACTTAATTATATTATATATAGGATACTGTTGCACACTTTCTCTTTGGGAATATTGTTCGGGTTTCAAATGAAAAATGACATTTCTTCTTGAAAAAAAATATAGACGGACTAGTTGCATGGGCCGATGCTCAGTCAGCCGTGCCAAGTACGCTGCTCTCGTTGTCGTTACGACCATGAAATGCGAGTGCGAAGAGTTCAACAAAAGTTCAGAAGTTTTTTTGAAAGTGGCTAGCGTAGCTGGTTTTCATTTCATTTAGCAGGGAGAGATTACAGAAAATGACCAAGCGATCATGGAACAGAGAGAGGCAAGACGTCTTGCTTCGGGCCCCAAAGAGCAGGCCTTCTGGGAAAAACTAAGCTAGAAAACTATGCTCATTGAGATATCTCACGTCACTTTCCCAAAGGGCTGCTAGATGCATCGTGCGCCGGCGAGTCGCCATTGCTCCATGTCGCTCTGACATGCTTTGATGATGTGCCTAGCGTCAGCGTGCTTGCCCCTGAAAGTGCATGCATTTCTTTCCAGCCAGATGTGTCAGGAGATGAGGGCGATCATTGTCTTCGTGCCCTTCCTGTGTTCTGGGGCAGCGGAGGCCACAATCATCTGAACTTTATCCGTTGTCGTTGCAGCTCTGCTCCACACTTGCTGGTTTAAAGAGCTGCACCCCGTCCATGAGGCCGCGTTGTTCCAGGCCTGCATTGCCAACGGGCATTCCTAGATCAGGCGCGAGGTCTTCAGGTTGCGAAGACACATGGGGCAAAAATAACCATTCGTCCATCCTCTCCTCTGTAGGCGATCGTTGCACCAGAGTCTATCTAGGTGCAACAGCCAGAGGGACATCTTCACCTTCCCTGGAGCCCAAGTCTTCCAAATGATGGTTTTGAAGCTGCATGTCCGATTTCCTTCGAATTGTGCATTGTACGCCGAGCTTACCGAGTAGTTGCCCGAGCTGTTGAGCCTCCATTGATCGTGTCCGGGGCCTCCGGTTCTAGGTTGATTTGAGCTCGGCTGATTTCTCTTGCCAGTTGCACCACTAGCTGCGTGATGCCGTTGTAGTCGCCGTTGCGAAGATCGAGGATCCACCGATCATCGGTCAAGGCCTCCTTTACGCTTCTGTTCTTGCGGATGGCTCGAGCGAACAAATCAGGGTATGCCAAGCAGAGTTGCCTCCCTCCCAGCCAGGAGCACGACTAGAAGGATGCAGTAGCACCGTTCCCGATGGTCACCACCGTAGAGGCCGCGAAAAGGGCTCGGTCAGCAGCATCGCAAGGCGTCCCGGTGCCAACCCAAGGCCTAGTTGGCTACCTCCAGGAGAGCCAAAGCCAGTGCAACCGTAGGGCTCGGGCGAAACGGCTGAGGTCAGGGATGCCCAGTCCGCCCAGTTGCTCCGGCTTGGTCATAGATGCCCAGCGGACCTTACATTTGCCGCCCAAAATTTCTTCGTCTCCCGCCCAGAGGAAGCGCCTTCTTGACTTGTCGATCTCCTTGATGAACTTCTTTGGTATTCGCAGCG